AGGTGAGATGAGCAGCACAATTAAAACATTAATAGCATTGAGGCATTTTGTTACCTCCGTCTTCTAGCAAGGAGTAAAATAAGAACTTCAAAGGAGTAAAGGCCAAGAAACTAATCAAAAACAGAATTCAACTTTAAGGACAATACATGCACATTTGATGCCACACCTTGTGCCTGTGCAAGGCCATATCAATAAGAGAAGACTTAATAACCCTGTTGAATATGTTCACTCCAACATTTTTTAAGGTCACTCTTTCTGCAATACATGAGCTCAGAGTTCATTTATGAAAAACCTGAGGCACTTCAATAACAAAATTTATAATTAAGAATATGGCTTCCATGACCAACCATAGAAAACCTATATCCTACAATATAACACATGGAAGAAGGTGCACATTCAAATTTGATTGAGTGGCAAGGGCAGGCCCATGAGGTACAGATATCTACTTCTCATTAACCTTGGATTTCTACAGAATGAATTACATTCAAGCTTAGAAAAGAAAATAAAATAAAATTTAACATTAACAAACCCCAAGCTAACCAGAATCTAGACTAAAATCATCATATCCTCACAACTGAAGTGAAATTTACAAGGACAATTGTGATTCAGCCAGAACTGGTATCATTTATCACTTAAGTTCTGATAAGGTGGTTTACATTTATTACATAATGGAGAATGCATCTTTACTTTAAACAATAATAACAAATCAGACACAATATTCTGGAAACTCTTCAACAATTATTTCAGTGTCACACAAACAGCCACACATGAATTCGTTCAAAGACCAATATGCATGAAAAATTACTAGTTTTATCATCTGCAAATAGGCAGAAAGTGCACATAACAGCTTACCTTTGCTTGATGGAGGGTCTCGAAGGGTCTGTATAAAGTTGAATCCCAGACAAATATGGCACATAATACTGGACAACACAATCACTCTGATTTAAAACCAGAGGAACTCCTGCTCCATATGCACTCCATTCCCCAAAAGACTCCCAAAGGTCACCCAAGATGAAGTATGGATAGGAATCATTGTCAAGATTCCTCATCCCTCTCATGATTGTCTGCATATATGCAAATGCACTGGATTAACTTGAGTATCAGGAGATCAAAGGATTCAAACTGATTATCCACAAACTTCTGCTTTGTTGCAATATGAATAAGCCACTGAACAAATGAGGAGATTAGATCTTAATTACAAGAAGGCATTCAAATAACCATGCCAAGGAGACAATTGCTGAGCCATTGTTCACTTGTATGATTAAGGAAGAAATGAGCATAAAATTAGCAGAAATCTGGCTTTTCATAAACACATTATACAACCAGGTTATCCATGCAAATGGCAGAAGCGAGTAGCAAACCACTGCACTCCAACACCTGATCCATTCAGATGGTTTACACACACGATACGACCAAGTATCTAAAAACAGGCATATGCATAAGTCATAACCACATGAAACTAGGTCCAGTTTCTGAAAATATTGTCTAGACTCTAGCCCGTGGAAGCAGGGTTCAGGGTTACAACATTGCCCCAGCCCCCAAGTATATGAGAAACAGATTACCGTTTACAGTTCTTCTCATTGACATTGTCATAATACAAACACACTGAAAACCTAAAATGCAGCAACTTTTACATCAAGGCATAGTTTCCCCAAACATCTATAACTTAATGCCCAATAGGATAAGACTGTAAGATTAAATAACAAATAGTGATACCTTGGGCAAAACTTGAGCGGGGACCTTAGGAGTGGTATGCTCCAAGAACCGATCGAAATTCGTCAAATTCTCAATTCGAATCGATGAAAACGACGCCGTTGACGAAGCTCCGTCATCAGACTCAGCTCGACTCTCCGCTTCAATTCTTGACTTGGCTTGCATTTTTTGCTGCTTCCTCATCGCCGGTGGGCTATAAAACCGATCATCTCCAACCTTTCTCCGATTTGCAGCCATTTTTGAGGGGGCAAGATTTTCCAAAGACCCAAAAAAGAAAATGGATCCACAAAGATCCTAAAAGTCAAAAGAAGTTTGTATAGCAGCAAGAACGTTTTGAGTCTTTGGTATAATGAAGTAGTGTAGTGTGTATGATTGTTGGAATTAGAAAAATTGGGGTAAAGTTTAGGGCTTTTTGGTTAAAGGGTTTAAGGGAGATTTAGAGTGATGAAGTTTTAGGGTTTTTGAAGTTTGAAGATAAAAAGAGGGGTTGGGTTGCTGGGTTTGTTAATGGTGGAGGGGAGAAGGAGACGCGAAGAGTCGAGGCTGAAAAAAGGGTTGAAAATGAAGGTCCACCTTTAGTTCCATGGACCATGTTCTACACAATTCAAGAATAAACAAAAATTTACACAAATTATCACTAATAATAATAAGCCCTTCGAAAATATATATCAATTAATATGAGTAACGTGATAGAATATATATATATCATTTATTATTTCTTAAGTGGTGTTCAAAATTCATTGTGAATAAGTAAAAGTGAATAGTGGGAGTTAGAGCTTCTCAAAATTGAACTCTGACCAATAATTCAAATCGATAAAAGTTTATGGATTTATCAGTAATGGGTTATTGATTTAACGGTTTTGATAAGTGTTTTGATTTATTTTTATATTGGGTTATCGGTTTTTAATAATTTGAGATTTTTTTCTTAACGGGTTAATCGATAATCGAATAGTAAATTAATAAACTTTATGTATACCATTCAATATATAAAGTTTTTGACTTAGGGTTTAGTTTCATACTTTCATATTTAACTATCTCAAACTCTCAGTTATTCTACAAGTTGTTAGTGTTCGCTTTTGAGCAAGTATTAATTCATGTGTATGGTTCATTTGGTTTGTCACTTTGTTTTTAAGTGATTATCAATAATTTATTTTTTGTGTGTGAAATCCTAACGATTAAATCGATAATAATCAATAATTGATAAACTGATAATTGATAATTTAATGGTTCTTTAGTGATTTAGCATGTCTAAAAATTGGTAACTGTCACGATCCGAGTCAACATCTAAGTCAAGACACGATACTTTAAAACCACAAATTGCCCCAAGCTAACCCTTGGCATAACATATCATAAGAAACTGAAGCGAAAGCTGAAACATAAGCATATAAATAAATGGTTCGACACCAAACTAGACAAAATGATAAATGAAATCCATGTAATGCATACTTCTGTATGAAATAAGCCTATGTTGTCTAGAATGAAAGAAACAAATGTGCTGAGACATGACACCCAACTACCAATAACGACCCTCACATAAAATCTTAGACCTAACCAGGGGCGGATGTACAGTGCTTCGAGGGGGTCATCCGACCCCCCTCGGTAAAAAAATTACACTATATATATAAGATTGATTTTTTTATGTACATGTATATATTTAAAATTGAACCACCTGAATATATATCAAAGGAGTAGCCCAATGGTTGAGGGGTTCAAGATTTCGCTCAAGTGAGCATTGGGTCGCGGGATCGAGTCCAAGCAACAACATTTTTTTTTTGTTGTAATTTTTAGCGATTTTACAGGCTGTTTTTTTTTTTTTTTTTTTTTTAAAGTTAAAGATAGGCCAGCCCATTTTTATTGAACAAAAGGGGCAAAAAAAGGCCCAGATCAGCCCATGTCCACAAAGCCTAAATTAAAGCCCTAAATCATTCTTTCTAATTACAAAATAGGAAACTACCCTAGCAAAGAAAGTCAGCAAAACAGAGAAATTTTCAACCATTGAAAATTTAGAGACATTTAGAGACATTGAAAACCAAGCCTGTTGCTGCTGCTTGCTGCCCTGGTGGAGGAGTGGTGGTCCTCTTAATCTCATTCTCAGATTCTCTCTTTCAAGCTCCATTTGTGATGGCAACCTCTGTAAGTTTTCTTTTTCGTTTTTTTTTAATTGTTATTTTTCAGAATTCTATGCTTTGATTATGGTATTTATTGATGTGTTATTTTATTTAGCTAATTGAACTCATATATTCACTTCTCTTAACAATTTTTTATTTTTCATATAAAAATTTCAATTCTATTCATTGATTATGAAAGTTATAATTTTATTTGTTTGGCCTTATTTGTTGATTTTATATGTTTATTATGGACATTCAACATTTCTTAAATGGATATTAACTTTTATTTATGAAATTCAAACTTTTGTTCATTGTTTATAATTTGTTTTGGTCCTTATTGCATATTTAATTTTTGTAAGTTCTCACTAAATTTTTATTACGATTCAGTCTCAATATTCAGTGAAGAAGTATTTTACACAAGTACCGAAATCAACTTTAGCCTCTCAAAGTCATAGTCAATCTAATCAAAAAGAAAATACTAATCATTCAGAAGTGTCGTTAGATTCTTCTCAAGAATTTGATTTGAGTTCTTTAAAGTTTGATCCTGGTGAAAGAACATCAATATTGAACTATCATCCAAACCACCGTGATGTTATTAGAAGAGCATACCTTTTGAATGGTCCTTGTCAACCTCGTTTGGCGGTGCAAGAGTATCCTCAAACATATATTTTTGGATCAATGCGTCGTTTTAATCATGAATGGTTTGATGATATATATCATGATTGGTTGGAGTATAGTGTTAGTAAAGATGCAGTCTATTGTTTATATTGCTATCTTTTTAAAGATCATAACACTAATCAAGGAGGAGGGGAGACATTTTCAACTATAGGATTCAAGAGTTGGAACAAAAAGGGTGGTCTTGACAAACATATTGGTCTATCGAATAGCATACATAATCAATCAAAAAAGAAATGTCAAGATTTACTACAACAACGGCGGTCTATTCAATTTGCATTTGAGAGGCAATCTAATCAACTCAAGCATGGATATTATATGCGCTTAAGTGCGTCGGTTGATGTAGTAAGACTTCTCATAAGTCGGGGATTTGCATTTCGAGGTCATGATGAATCTAAATCATCACTTAGTAGGGGTAACTTTCTTGAAATTCTCTCATGGTATGCAAAAAAATGTGATAAAATTCATGATTATGTTTTGAAACATGCTCCTGTAAATGATCAAATGACTTCTCCAATGATTCAAAAAGATATTGTGAGTGCATGTAAGATAGAGACTGTTAAAGCTATTCTTGACGAATTAAATGATGACTACTTTGCTTTACTAGTTGATGAATCCTTTGATGTGTCACGCAAGGAGCAAATGGCTATCGTATTTCGTTATATTGATAGAATGGGATTTGTAATGGAGCGACTTATTGACATTGTTTATGTTGAAGATACTAGTGCTTCATCTTTAAAGGAGGCAATTTTTAATTTACTTGCTCAACATTCTTTGAGTCCATCAAGTGTGCGTGGACAATGTTACGATGGGGCAAGTAATATGCAAGGTGAGATCAATGGCCTTAAAATGTTGATTAGACGAGAAAGTAAATCGGCTCATTCAATCCATTGCTTTGCTCATCAACTTCAACTAACTCTTGTTGGGGTCTCTAAAAAGTGTGTTGAAGTGGGAAAACTTGTAGTATTGATCTCAAATATTTTTAATGTATTGTGATCTTCTTTTAAGCGTATGGATAATTTACGAGATTCTCAAAAATCAACAATTCAAGTGGCATTAGATATGGGTGAACTTACAACCGGTAGGGGCTTGAATCAACAACTTGGTCTTTTAAGAGCTTGTGATACTCGTTGGGGATCTCATTATAAATCCTTTAACAATTTTATTATTATGTTTGGCTCTATTCTTGAGGTTCTTGAATCACTTGCTCTTGATGCAAGGAGTATGGATGAAAGAGCCAAGGCAATGGGACATCTTGAAGCTTGTCAAACATTTGAGATTGCGTTTATGTTGCATTTGATGAGAGATGTCTTAGCAATCACAAATGAGCTTAATAAATGCTTACAAAAAAAAGAGCAAGATATTACAAATGCCATGCTACTTGTTGAAGTAGCAAAGAGAAGGTTGCAAGTCTTAAGAGATGATGAATGGGATTCTCTTATTGCCAAGGTATCTACATTTTGTATCAAACATGATGTTTTGATACCTAACTTTGAGGAGCCATATGTTAGCTCTTTAAGATCACGGCGGAAACTTGCTAACTATACAATCTTACATCATTATCGTGTTGAAGTGTTTTGCAATATCATTGATTGGCAACTTCAAGAACTTAATGATCGTTTTGATGAGGTGACTACCGATTTGCTCCATGGAATTGCTTGCTTGAATCCAATTAACTCATTTTCAAGTTTTGACATAAGAAAAGTAATGAGAATGGCTGAATTATATCCAGATGACTTTGATGAATCCAATATAAGTATTCTTGAGAATCAACTTGCAAGTTACATTGTTGATGTTCGTGATGTTGATGAAAGGTTCTCCGATCTAAATGGGCTTTGTGATCTTTCCAAAAGATTAGTTCAGACAAAGAAACATTCAAATTATCCTCTTGTATTTCGCTTAGTGAAACTTGCTCTACTTTTACCAGTTGCCACTGCCTCCGTTGAAAGAGCTTTTTCGGCAATGAAGTTTATCAAGAATGACTTGCGGAGTCAAATGAGTGATGATTTTTTTAGTGGTTGTTTGGTGCCTTATTTAGAAAAAGATGTATTTGATAAGATTTCTAATGATGTTATTATTAAGACATTTCAAGATATGAAACCTCGTAGAATACAATTGTAAAAATGTATGTAGTTGTATTTTCAAATGTAAAACTATGTTTTGATAGGTTTATCCGCATGTTTGGTTTCTTAACCTCCCTTCAAGGTTGTGTAGTTTTGTAATGTAATGAAGTCATTTTATGCCAAAAAGAATTTTTGTGAAGAAATAGTATTTTCGCTTTGATTTGTGTTTTTTGTTAGTCTTTCTAATGTTAAATTTGTGCTTGCTCTCCATTTGCACTTTCAGGAGCCGAAGAGAATTCTAAAGGAATTGAAGAACTTGTAGAACTTTTTGATTGAATTGTGCTACTTTATTATCATTTTATAGATATGTACTTTAAATTTGTTTCTTAAGATGAGTTGTAATTGTAAGAAATTATTTGAACTAAGGATTTTTTTTGTTAACCCGTTTGTTAATCAATCCGTCCATATATGACCCGACCCGTTTATTTATGGATAATATTAGCGTGTTTAATTTTTTTTTTTGAACCCCCTTGATAGAATTCCTGCCTCCGCCACTGGACCTAACTATCTTCTTATTCATGAAGTTGATAAGTGGGTATTTTTATCAACTTATATTATCTTTAAGCTTATGTTTTTGACTTGTTTAGGAGAGAATGGGTGCATTTGATGTGGTTTTCTTCATGTTTATAGGAAAATGGAGTGAATAGTAGATTTAGAAGGTAATTGAAGAAATCAAGTGAAATTGAAGCAAAAAGAAAACCAAAATTGAAAAAAGTCAAATCTGGCAGAGAAATTGTTCTCCGCGAACGCAGTTAGCTGACATGTGAATGCGGAGTCTGGGTGAACAAAGAAATGCAAAAAGGCACAAATCACCTGCGAACGTGTCACAATCCAAAGTACACCCTACACGTGACATGTCGTATAAGACCCCGAGAGGCCCTACACAAGCCACTTGGCATACATATATACATAGTAATAGACAAAATTTTATATAAAAAATGAGTGTAACATTTCAAAACGGATGTCTAACATAGTCTTGACAAGTCATCTATTACATCAAAAGGAGTGGTCAGGACATAACCCATACACACCACATACAACATCTGAAAGTAAAGACATAAGAAAGCAATAAAGGTGACATCGTCCTCAAAGTATGAGGACCCACCAAATCTTCAAAAGTCTCTAATGATATACTAGCCACGAACTGAGGGAGAGGAGTCGTTAAGCCTTACATTTGTGAAACAATGTAGGCACGTGTATGCATTAGTACATGAAATGTACCAAGTATGAGGGAAATGAAATAAAACATGAAACATGATCATAAAGGGACATAATAGAGAACATGATATGTATGGCCAAGCTAAACATAGTAAAAGTCTTTTAAAGAATGATCATAATCATGGACATGGTCAATACATCTTAAAACATAAGAAAAGCTTCATAAAACATAAGAAAGTAACTTAGTTCATCTTGTTGGATATTACCTTTAACTGACAATAGACCATGCGAGCTATACATGGAATCCGATGTAACTTCCACATCGAAAAAGGAGAGCCTACTTGCCAAGGTAGAACTCTGTATCATGTGATATGCTATATGTGGATCCACTAGTTAGGTCATTTAATGCAATCCTACAGGGGCACATACTTTGGAACTAGAGGTTGCTACTAGAGACTACCATATTTGAGCCTCCACCTCCAAGTTCTCTCGGTGCTAAGTTAAATCCCAACGAAATAGTCAATTTTATAAACATAATCATCATACATAGAAAAACACAATTTAGTTAGTAATCCACACTTAATCATTATAGAGTAGCTCCTTAAACCATGTGTGAGAGGACCTTTCACCATTCATGATTTTTCAATGTGAGAAATTATTTCACCATTTCATTGATGCTTATCTTGAAAGTAACCTTTAGATCATAAAACATCTTTTCATAAATCATCATTCACAAATTCATAGCGTTCTTCATAAACTCATATCTTCATAAATTCATAGTCAAAATCATAAATAATGCATGCGTCTTGTAGGAATCAATAGGAAATCATGTAGTTTAATCAAGACATGCATAGAAAGATTGAAATTGAACAATTAAAACCCATGAAGATCACATGAAACCCTAAGCAATTTAGGGGAAATTGAATTGGAAACTTAAAAATTCTTTGGGACCAATTGGATGAATAAGATCCAATGGTGAAATCCCACATACCTTGATAACTAAAGATCAAAAGAAATGGTGAATTTAAGACTTTGAATTTAAACCCTAGCTTCTTCTTCCTTAGCTTGAGAGAGAGTTAGGGAGGATGAATTTTGTTGGGATTTGAAAATTAGGAGAATGAATTTAGAATGGGTAATTTTAGGACTTAGAAATCTTATATAGGGATTAGAATTAGGGTCAACATTACATAGTTTAGGTATTAAATGCCTAGAAAAAAATCCTAATAGCCCTGACTTAAAAATTGTCGAAACACCCTCTACGAAAGCCTTTCATGGACCACTAATCACTTCACCTTCCGTGAGGGCTATCATGAACCAGAGGGGCGTCTGGGATTTACTTAAGTCAATTTCCACGGACGGGTCTACCGTCCATGGACCCTTCTACTACCTTGAGCCAGTCCTTGAATCATTTTCTTAGAATAATTTTCACAAGGCTCGGGTTCAGTAATGGGTTCACTAACTGTGGACCCTACCACCATCCTTGAACCCTTTCTTAGACCATTGCCTTAGAATATTTTTCACAAGGCTCGAGTTCAAGGATGGGTTCACTAGTTGTGGACCATTCCACCGTCTTTGAACCCTTCCTTAGACCCTTGTCTTAGAATATTTTTCACAAGGCTCATGTTTAAGGATGGATTCACTGATTGTGGACCCTTTCACCTTCCTTGAACCCATCTGTAGATCATTGTCTTAGAATATTTTTCACAAGATTCGGGCTCAAGGTTAGATTCACTGATCGTGGACCCTTTCACCTTCCTTGAACTCATCCTTACAAGTCCATTTTTCACAAACTTTCAACTAAATTTTATCATTCCAACTTTCAATCAACTTTTTACACTTCCAAGTGTTACAGAATGCGGTGATGAGGTCAAAATATGACCGCAAACGCTCCCCATTGGCACGCGAAGGCATCATTCCAATCAATGCAGTCCCGCGAATGCGGGCCACTCTCTACAAACGTGGAGAGTTATTTTGAATGCGTACAGAGCAGACTGACAGTTTCGGAAGTCGACTATTTTGATCCCTAAAACTCTATACACACATGAGAAAACATTTTGAGAGGGATTATTGATTGTATCCAAATTTCTAGGGTTCTTAGCTTAGGATTTTAAGCTTGGATAGCAACTTTCCTCACAACTCTCCTTTGGGTTCAAAGATTGAAAGCTCCATTGTAGCAATTTTCACTCTTTCTTCACTTCCTTGCTTTGTATTGCCTGAGTTATGGGTATAATTGATTAATAGAGAATTTATGTTTTGTGCTAGAAATAGACAATTGTTGGGTTGATGATTTTATTTTTTTGATTTTGTAATTGATTGAATGCTTCTCAATTCTCATTTATGAAATATGTATCTGATTATCTAATCAATTTCATGTTTAAATTCTTTTCCTAATGAATTTGATCACTCCTTGGACTTGCCCATTTACTTTGATTGAGCTAGGAAGAGTCAATTGAGGTTGAGAATTTTTGATAGGTACTTAATTTGAGGTGTAACCACCATTTAGATTCTAGCTAGAAGATAGTGGATTGTTGCGATGCATAGAATTGGACTAATTATGATAGCTACTTAACTAGGTTTGAAAGAGCTAGGTGAGAAATATATGCTTATGTTCGGAAGAAGTAAGTAAATCATTTGGGTTCCAATGTATATATAATTTTACCCATAATTAATGAGTTTGCAAGATATTAAGTTGCAATGAATAGTTTGAATGTAAATGAGCTTCTCATTCCCTTTGATCCCTTGCTTGAAAAGGCCTTTACCCTTGTTTCCTTTCCCTCCTATTGTTGATTGTTACCAAACTCTTGATATTATAATGGTGTATTGTTCGTTTGAATTCAAACTAATAGCTTGTAATTCTTTATCTTTTCAATTACCAACACATTATTTTTTGTGGGATTCGACTAGGGGTGTGCATCGGTCGATTCGGTTTAGTTTTATGTATTATCGGTTTTCGATTTTTAATACGCTAAACCAATAACAAACCAATAAGATATTCTTTATCGGTTTTCGATTTATTGATTTTTGGTCATTAACGGTTCGGTTTCGATTTACCCAATAAGAAAATACTCAGAAAGTAAAAATCTGATTTCTCACTTCTCTAACTATTTGGCACGATATAGTGAGACAAACAAATCAGTTGTAAATGCTTTGATATAGTGAAACAAGAAATATAATCATAAATTGCATGAATAAGAGTAGATGTAGTACGAAGGCTACAATAACATGTTACAACCAAAACATAATATGGAATTTCTTATGTGAAGTAGAAGTATTATGACGTGTGAAGTGTGTAGACCATAGTGTATAGTATTGATATAGTGTCTAGTTATGTTAAATTATTAATATTTGATATTTATGAAGGGTATAGTACTAACTTACTATCGTCTTAATGGGTTATCGGTTTACCCAATAACCCAATACTAAAAACCGATAACCCAATAATGTTTTTTATAAAACCATTAAAAATCTGTTAACCCAATAGCAATGACCCAATAATATTTTTCGATTCGATTTATTGGTCGGTTCGGTTTTCGCACACCCTTAGATTTGACCTTGACCTCATACGTTGGATTATTATATTACTAACAATCGCCTACTCATTGAGTTGTATGCAGAGGCGTATGCACATGAAGGGGAGGGGGTTCACATGCACCCATCCTCCCCTTCCTAACCCCTATATAATACTACTATTTTTCTAATTATCTTTTTAAATTTGTATTGGTGAACCCAAGGTTAAAAAGAATACTCTAATATATTGATAAGTAAGTACAAATAGGGGGTGCATAACTTATAGATTTGTGGTTCAAATTTTTCTATCCACATTAACATTTTTAATTTTTA